TATCTCACTGCCACATATGCTCTCCACTTTTGAGTATAAATTACTCAGGAAAAAAATCCTTCTATCCTCATCTGAGTTTATTCCAGGCATGCTTTAATCCCACCACTGCTCCAGAACTGCTTTCATCAGGGTCACCAGTGGTTTCCATATCCTTTAATCAAATGGCCAGTTCTTGGTGCCCACTCATTTAACAGACAAATACTAGCTCATTTAGGGTAATACCTTCTTTCACTAGGCTTCTGGAAAAGTCTTGGTTCTCCTATCTCAGTGGTTCTATCACCTTTGCTGTTTTCTTCTCATCTCAATGTTTTCACTTTGGAACAACTCATTCTCAGTCTTGAGAACTGTTCACTTTTTTGCCTACATGTATCCCCTAGATTATCGCATGTATCTCCTAACTCTGTGAGATGATGGCTTGCCAATGTATACCTCTCTTTGGAACTCCAGACCTGTTGTACACAGCTGCCTATTTGGCATCTGTACTTGGATGATTAATGCATGTCAGAAACTTAATATGTTCAAATTCTCACTCATTATTTATCCAATATCCCCCAAACCCGGTTTTCCTTATCTCAGTAAATAAGTGTATTCCATAGTTGCTCAAGCTAAAGACCTTGGAGTAATTCTGCAACTGATCTGTCATCAAATTATCTCATCTTCACTTAGAAATGTGTCTAGAATCAGACCACTTTTTACCATTTCCTTGCCACTACCCTGGCCTTGTCCACAGTCTACTGTTACTTGCACTATTAAAGTAGTTTCCTAACTGGTAGCTTTCTTTCCACTCTGACCTCTATTAACCTGATTTATTTTAATAAAGCACCTAGAATTGTCCTTTAACATTTGTGCCAGATCAAACCTTTCCTCTGCTCAAAACCCTTCCATGGCTCTGTGTTGCCTTAGAAAAAAATCCCCAAACTCCCTAGGACATGACCCCCTGGCTTTTCTTTGACTAGATTTCCTACTAATCTCCGTTCTCTCATCTGGGAACTGGCCTCTTTGCTCTTCCTTGGGGGCTTTAGACTTGTTCCAACCACAGGATGTTTACACTTCCTTTTGCCTCTGCCTGAAATCTTTTACCTCTGTATATGCACATGGATCTGTCTCTTCCTTGAAATTTCTATCCAGATGTCAATTAATCAGGGAGACCTTCCCCAATCACCCTATCTAAACCACCCTTGCCCCATTCTTGTTCTCCCAACATGCCCTATTCTGCTTATACTGCTTTATTTTTTTTATAACACTCCTTGTTATGTAACATCTTACATATTTGCCTGTATATGTGTTCTTGTCTATCTTCTGCCCACTAAACTGAAAGCTCAATGAGCGCAGGGGTTTTGCTTAGTTTGTTCATTGCTGTTTTGCTAGCATTAGAGCAGTTCCTGACAGATAGTATGTACTCAATATATTGAGGGGTTTCCAAAATAAATAGATATCCCCCTTCAAGGGCAAATATTAATTATTCTGAGAGAAAAATACATTAAACCATCAGTATGAATTCCTCAGTGTAATTTATGTCCAATTATAGTCTAAGCTATAAGGGAATGAGGGAATGAGGACAGTTGGGAATCGGGTTCCTGGTATCCACTCCTAGAATTGTCCTTAACCCACTCTATGACTCATAAGTTTTTGGATTAGATTTCATCATCTGTAAAATGATGTTGGACTAGATTGGGGATCCTGGCCTGGGGTCTAGGGACTCATCAGCAGCCCACAGTGGGCTTCAGGGGACACAGGGGACACAGGGTACATGTGCATCTCCTATTGCTGTATGCAAAATGTTGAGGCTATGGGCATATGTATGCATTTCTTTTCCAGATGAGACAAAGGTTTATGACTGAAGTGGAGTAGAAGTCCTTGAAGTCTTTGTTGAGTCCTAATTTTATGTGATTCTAAGTTTTGAAAAGAGAATGGCAGAAGACAGCCTGATGCCTCTCTGCAATGTTGGAAGGCAGTCTTGGTTCTGCCACACCCTAAGCAAGTCTTCCCTCTCACTTTGGTCTACATCACTTGTAAAATGAAGGCATTGGGCTAGATGATCCAAAATAATACCTCCAATTCTACATTCAACTCAAACCAGACCAAAGCAAAGAAACAAAATGTGTTAGTCAGCTTGGGAAGTCAGATGGGTCCCTGCTGGGTCCTGGGGAGTCAGAGTCCCAGACCTGCCAATGTTCTAAGAGCACTTTGAGAGGCAAGTAAGGGAAAATACAGAGGTGGTTCCTGGGTAAGACTCTAGCTCAGGGACTCAGTGGCCTTCTGAAAGATGGAAGATTAACTCTTAGGGATGACTGGGAATGGAGAAGTAAAAGCTTCCTTGCTTCCACCAAAGAGATTGGGGTCTGGTTCCCTAGAGTTTAACCTCATAAATCCTGAAATAAATTATGGAAAAGATCTCTTTACAGTGTTGGAGAATTTTATTTTGCAGGGTTAAAGGGGTGTACATAGTCTAATGCTTCCTCCTTAGTCTACTTTTTCCTATTAGAATCTAGAAAAATTGTTATTGAGGAGATGAATTGCTCACAACATGCATAGTTTTGATTCGTTCCACTCTTCCCTTAGCTCTCTTCCCCTGACCGCCCTGCCCTTGCAAGTGCCTATTACTTCTTTCCTTGAAAGTGTGTCCGGTTTCCCCTGGGGGAAAACAACAACAGCAACTTGTGACAGGGTTCCAAGAACACACACACAGCACTTAGAGGAAGTTGTTTGAAGCCTCCTCTTCCCCAGATACATGGTTGTGAGGACAACTGTATAGCAGGTGGAACATCCATCTCAGGAATTCCCTTGTTCTGTCTTTCTGCACCCACTGCATGCCAAACCCTATGAACACTTCAAGTCAAACGAGACACACTCCCTGCTCTATATCTCAGAGTCACAACAAAACAAAGCTGGATTTGCATTGAAATCTACTGTTTCCAGGGTTTTGCTCCACCCTCCTTGTAAGTGGAGAGGCGAGTCTCTATGATTAAGAGAGTCTTGGTCAGCAGACAAGTTGTCTTCATTACTCCTGTGGGGGAATGGGACTGAATGGGGTGTTTCTTCCCCCCTGGGCCTGGCCCAAATGCGGCTGTCCCTCGAGGGCCCATTAGGCTGCAGGTCACAGCAGCTGGAGCCCAGGCGCCCAGAGCCAGTCACGCGTCTGTGCTGCCTGTTCCGTGAGGCACAATGGAGTCATTGACTATTTATTTACTCCATACAACAAGGCCGCTGTTGACTTAATTACGGAATCCTCCTTGCTACCCCTGGGATCGTTAAATGACTAACGGACTCCCCATAATCACTAACTCATCTCTCCTTAACCTGTATAAGGCCCGAGTCTCCCCTATGTGGGCGGGCTCAGTAGGTGTGTAGCGGGCACGGAGAGCCAGAAGTGGTGACACAGAGGGTAGAGACTGGTGGTTTTGCTTGAGAGCTGGGTAGGGGTTGGCAGGACCGAGTCTCTGTGTGTTTCCGGGCTGGGCTGAGTCAGGTGCTAGCCCCAGGGTGTGGAGGGTGGCATTGCTGCACCAGGCTCTCCGGTGAGGGCTCAAGTTCCTGTCTCCAGCCGAGGCAACTCGTCTCTGGAGACGCAGTCTTCTGCGTAGGACCTTCAGAATTAGAGATTGGCAATCGAGGCTGGCGCCTTCTACAGCCAATTTGAAAATTGCCTCCCTGCCCAGCGTTCCCGGCCTGCTTTTTCTCCGCCTCTCTAAAACCTGCTCGCAAGTCGCTGCTCGCTAACTTCCTCTGGGGGCAACTTGCAAAATCTCGACTCTAGTTAATAACGCAGGGACGAGGATAAAATAGCAATGGTATTGAATAGATGTTGACTTTTCCGACCCAGAGGAGCGGAAACTGAGGATTGTTTGCAAAAGCTAATCGTTTCTACCGAGATGCAGGGGGAAGCCTGGTGTGCCCGCCAGCGGCGCTCCTCCCTGAAAGCAGAGTTTCAGTAGGACTCAGAGACTTAAGCGCTCCTCTTCTAGAGCCTTTTACAAAAGTTCTTTAGAATATTTAGACCGGAGGCCAGCCAGGCTGGGGCCGCTCCCCAGGCTCCTTTCCCCAGCCTTTGAACTTCGACCTGTGGTTCGGCACCCATCAGATCTCATAGCAAATTTCTTTCTGCAATTTGTTTGAATCGAGACCGGGGGAGGTGGGGAGGGGGGAGGGGGGGGAGAGGCGTCTGCCAATAAGGTGCCAGACCTGTACCAAGACTGCTGGCCCTTCTTTCGACGCTCCAGATGAGTCCCTTTCTGTTCTCAGCACCCTGGGAAGCCGGGGTAAGGGGGAAGAGAGAGAGAGAGAGAGAGAGAGAGAGAGAGAGAGAGAGAGAGAGAGAGAGAGATGGGGAGAGAGGCACGCGCAGTGACTTTAGGGATCTAAGGGGGTCCGTGCATTGGTACTTTGTGCAGGGTGCGAGGGTGGAGGCGCGGCTGACGCGCGGGTCAGGATCTTTTTTCGCTGACCTCAAAGGGATATGTCAGTACTTGTACTGAGAGGGCCACTCTGCTTCCCAAATGCTGGCGGCAGAGAAGTTCCGTTGCTATGGTTTCAGAGAGGTATAAAAGCCACCACCCAGAACCAAACGAGCTGGGGATCCCTACACTTGTGGTCACCACCCGGGCTCAGGCATAGCCCTTTGGCGATTTGTGTCACTCCCTGACCGATCAACTTGCTCGCGGTGCCTCCGTCCCAGACCAGGCAGGGGTGTGCGCTGCTGGCGGGGCTTCCTAAATTTTCTCACTTTCGCTCCTGCGGTCCAGGGACTAGTGCGGCGCCCTCTTGGCATCCGCGGCTGCGGGGAAAGGAACGCGGCGCCTTTAAAGCAGGAGGCGAGGAACCCCCGCCAGGAGGCGTGTCCGTCTCCGCCGCCGCCGCCACTGCTCCGCGGTCTCCGTCTCCGCCGCCGCAGCCGTCACTCGCGCTCGGCGCCCGCGGCTGCGCTGCTCCATCCGCGAGCCGGGGACTTCCCTCGACCTCCTCCCGCGGCTCCTCCCAGAGGACCACCCCTCCCCCTCCCCGCCCACCTGCCCCCAGCGAAAGGTAAGGACTCCCCTCGTTGGGCTCAGACCCGGGCTGCCTCCCGAAGAGTGTGCTCCCCGGAGGACAGGAGGGACCGGGGGTGGGCGAGGGACCTTTCCCGCCTGGAGAGGAGGAAAGCGAGCAGCCGCGCAGCGGTTCCGGGTGCGCTCGCCGGGGCACCCGCTGGACCGATCCGCTGAGAGTGGCTTTGTCCCGCTCGCCGCAGCCGATTCCCGTCAAAGATGCAACTGGCTGGGTTGGCTGCAGACGCTCCGGTTCTCCACATAGAATAATTTAGTAAGTGGACGCGTCAGGAAGTGGCCTCTGCCACTGGGACTCACGCGGGGCGGAGAGACGCGGGTGGCAAGAAGCTGTGTGTCTGCCTGCGGGTCTGATGAACTCCCCAGCCTTCCTTCCATCCTCCCATTCAGTCACCCTGCTCCCTAGTTCTGTGCTGAAGTACAGACATTTATGTTAACCGCTGCCACTGCTGAGAGCCACTGAAAAAACTCGGAGGGCATCCCATTAGGGTGAGGGGAGTAGGGTCACCAGGGTGGGTCATAAACGTCAAGAACTTTTAATGACTCTCTGTCATCCCTTGGTATTTTTACCTTCAAGGCGTTCTTTACTAAACAATACAACCCAACCAAGGCTTCTTAGGATGATTTCCAGTTTAAGGAATAGGGGGTATTAAAAAAAACTTGCCGCTACTATACTTTTGGTAACAAACAGATTGCCTTCTATTATTTCTTCATCTCCATATCGTAAGTATTGTCAACAGAAATTACGTTATGAATTATTATTTTCACTTTACAAGAGATGATTGATTAATTTGAATCTTAGTCTGTAGTTTACTGGAAGATATTTCCATCTTAATTTGTCTAAGTTTATTATCTTATAACTTTTTGTAGAGAAGCCATTTTTGTCACCACCAGGGCAGGTTCCAGGGGCCTTAGGAACTTCTTAAACAAAATGAAACATGCAAAAGGAAGGTTGTAGAGAATAAGTGATGCCTAGAAATGATACCTGTTTGTTTTCTTCTATTCAAACCGAGGGAGGATTGCACAAGCTGAAATTATTCCCGGACGTGTAAATCTATTCCAATTTAATTTCTTAATTAAGATATACTTCTTTTAAGCATGAAAAAGAATTAATTAGAAATCTAAATGTCATTAATCATCAGTGCAGCAGAATGTTGGTGGAGCAGCTGATATGTGTTGAGAATCACAAGGGATTGCATAGCATTTATAGTTAAGAAGGAAGTGCAAGTGTGCAACAGTGTGGTTTTAACTGATATCAGCTCTGACTTTGTTCTCAGGCACCTCTAATGCTATGGTTGAACAGGCTGTTTATTTTAGCTTAGCTGCAATACAACAGGCCACATGCATAGAAGACTGGGTCAAGTGTTACTATTCGGTGAGGTTCCTCAAATGTCACATAACAGCAGGACTTCAGTGACAAGTTAAGTGGAATTCTTACAAAGAATTCCATGTGAACAATTTAAATATAGGTATGGCATGGAAGAGCCTTTGAAAACACCTCTGAAATTCAGGTTGTCCTGGGATTATGTATTTGCTGTTTCTAGTAAAAGGTATGTAAACGTTGTGCTGTAAGGATTATTATACACATTTGTTCATGCCCCAGCAGGTGGCAGCTAACTAGAATAAGATTCATTTTCACTGGGAGAATAGAAAAATAAAATTGCTTCTCAAGTAATGATGCCCCAAAATAAGAGGTCATTAGTGTCAGTAGATATAAAAATATAGTGAAAGATGATGCTAATGGCTTTTTGTTGTTGGGACAAGCTTTGCATGAACATGCTGTGTGTTTTGCTTCTTGTTAATTTATCATAGGCTTGATATCTCCTCATGTCAGCATTCTTTTTTCCTTTTTTTAAAAGCCTTTTAGATACAGCTCCTCTCTGTATGTGCATATATGTGTGCATTTGCAATTTGTCATCTCTGCTTTGACCTTGGAACCTACAGAGATTTGGTTCCCAGAGATAAAGGTTGCCATATGGTTAAAATGAGAAAAAAAACCCCCACAACTATGATTAAGGTGTGTAAAACATTATGATCTTCTGATACCAAATAGTGGTGTTTTTTTTTTTGAGAAAGTAGCAAATTCCAAACAATGACACAATTTTAAAAAGGAGATTTGTTCTAGTCAGTGAATACTATATAATGATTTAATCAGTCCTTCATATAGCCCCAGAATTATGATGTATAGTATCGGTACTGGGGAGAAACTTATAATAACTTTAAAATTGTTTTACTAGAGGCATCTTTCACACTATCAAGTCATTTTGTTCTAGTATCGGGGAGATAATATAGGGTTTTTGTTGATGTTGCTTTTGCCCTGGGAGTGAGTGACGTTTAGTGAGAAAGAATGAGAACTAATCTGATTAACCTTGCAGCAGATGGGAATCTGGAGGTGGAGAATTCTAAAGCAATAACTAATTGTACATTTTAGAAGTGTCTTTAGCCATGAACATTGACAGCATATTGTTCAGTATTCTGAATTCTTGGTGGGCTTTTGAAATTTTTTTGTACTGGGAAATAAGTAGTTTAGTACTTATGAGAGAACTCAGAGTTAATGTAAGTGGCTTTTGTAGTCATATGCCCTGGAAGGGGATGACTATCTGTGTATCCTGGCAATGCCGAGCAGTCCCAGTAAGTAACACTGACATATACACACACAGCACAGTTCACAAAAGAATCCTCTTGAAAATGTGAACAGTGCAGTAACTGAAATTCACAGGCCCTGTGTAGTAGAAATATGCACATTGTCACTTCAAATGGTACATTACCCATTCAATGTACTACTTTCGATGTACTACTCCAGACTGAATCAATGTCTGGAGCGCTGTCCGCGGTCCTGAAGAAAGGTCGTTTCCTGTGTTGCAGTTCAGTTAGACAGGTGGAGTTGTCTCTGTGTTGAACCCTTTCAGATTTGTTAATGGGTGTAAATGATTCTAATTTAGCATATGCACAAAATTGGTTCTTTGAGGACTAATTAATGGTAAAAAATTGTGATACTTTTTACTGTTCAATTTACTGTGTAAGGACTTCATAAATCTAGAAGCTTGGTCTTTCACTTTTCCAACTAGACATCTAATAAATAATCCCACAAAACTAAGTAGTTTAGGATGCTGGTTTTAAACAGAGAAGTTACTATTGTAATATTAAATGCCATGATGTTAACAGAACATGAAATGAGACTTATGGTACATTTTGTTTTCTCAGGTTCCATTAAATGCCAACTACACTGCAGAATTGCAGTATTTTGATTAGTCACAACAATCTATTTCCAGGTATTAGGTATCAATTATATTGACAGATAAAAATAACAACATTTATTGTTTCCCTGGCAGTCATTCTAATATTTGATAGGATCAAAAAAAAGAAAGAAAAGAAAAGAACAAATAGAATGGAATAAATGAGACAGCAAATACAAGACAGAATATGTTGGGCTGTACGTACCTTACAAGAGATATTTTAAACATGGACTGAAGGAGTCGCTAGATACCCTTGGTTTTAGCACAAGGTGTTCCTTTTAAAGTGCTCAAATAGTCAAATTATTTGATTGAATTGCCTGCTATACTGCAGAACTAGCCATTCATGATACTTATTTTTGACACTGCAGTTATGCCTCCATCTTAAAAATAAAATCAGTGCCCACTTAATCTTTTGCAGAATGTAGGTTTATTTTCAAATAAGCATTTTATAATATCTTAAGAAAAATAGATTGAAGGAATCATTATGATGGAATGAAAACACTACTTTTTTTTTTTTTTGCTTTCTGGAGGGAATAGTACTGGTATCACTATTTAAAAATTAGATATATTTTAAATAAGATATGACTATATTTTTTCATAAGGTTTAACCTATGCCCTGTTAGTTGGTTATGAAAAAGAGATTAATTTTAAGATATAGGTCTAGCAGTTTGCTTCTTGTACTTCTTGATCACTTAAATTTAATAATACATAGCAAGATATTTATTACTATCCTTCTTGGTTTCACTTACTAATATAAAATATTATGATTGGGTATTTTTATCTATGTGCCTGGAGGAAAATATATTACCTATTTAAAAAATACAGTAAAATGTATTTTTATTTCAATAGAAAGTATTTTCTGTACTTTTTTTTCTTGACTAAACTGCTAGTTGTGAAAGCCAAGACAGTCACCACCCAGGAACTCTAAAATTTTGACCAGAACACTAAAAAATAATAAGGCATTTTTAGACAAAACAGTGACAGTATTGCTCAAGCTATGATCCTATAGTCTACCTCTTAAAGAAAAACATCCATTCAAAAAACCAAAGAGAAGAAATTTGGGCATAAATGATTGACGCCTTTGGCATTTTCTGCACTAATTCAAACACCATTTTCTTTTTATATGTGCACAGTTATGTTGGATGAGCTAAAAATGGGTGGAAAATATGATTCTTTCATTTTAATTCAGTCTTTTTCCCTCTAAAAAGCCATTTGAAGAAATCTATTTTTATTCCTGGTGGTAATCAAGGAATGTTCCACTCAAGTTTTAAATTACTATCTTCACCTCTCCAATTACACTCATATGTATTCATTCCTGGACAAAATTTTAAAAGTATAACTATGACCATTTTTGAACCTAAACACAAGTTACATTTGCAGTAAATTCCTTCATCTTAGACTACTTCCTATTTTACAACTCCCAGGCAAAGTGACTTTGACTTAGCTTGTCATTTATTAAAATTAACCAGTTGATTGTAAGAAGTCTGCTTGCATACACCGGTCACTTGCTTGGCAGAGTAGTTTTGAAAATAAAAGCAATTTCCCTACATAAATTAATCTGACTTCTTTCTTGCAACTCCAGGCGGGCGATCAGATCGGTTGCATAATAGATATTGGGAAGCTCACTGGCAGAGAGCCTTAAGAGGCAAGCAGTTATCTCAATTTTTCTCACTTAATCTTGGCTTCATGTCAGAAGCTGTGCAGCAGTGCAGTAGAATAGGGCCTGGCAAAACCTTTGCGAGCAAAGCATCTTTTGTGCGGGGACTGTAGCTCGCTACCCACACTTCGGCCCTTTCCGAGACTGGGTTTCCTACTGATTTTCCTCCTGCTTTGCTTCCCCAGGCTCGCGCAGCCGGACATTGTGGGTGTGCGTGCTGGATTTCTCCCGGATGCTCCCCGACTAACATGGATGTCCCACCATCCCTTGCAGTGGAAGGTTGCTTCTTGGCGCAGTGAGTGAAGAACATGCAGCGATTGCTAATGGGTTTGGGAAGCGGAGACTCCTTCCTCTCTCTGTGACCATGCCGTGATCGTGCCTGCGGCCACTACTCGACACATCCTCATTCCTGCCCGAACCGGGAGCCTAACGCTAGATCCGGGAAGTGGGTGCCGCGCGTGTGGACACAGAAACACCATGAAGATTATTTCTCCGATTCTAAGTAATCCAGTCTTCAGGCGCACCATTAAACTCCTGCTCTGCTTACTGTGGATTGGATATTCTCAAGGAACTACACATGTATTAAGATTTGGTAAGATTCCCCGTCTCTCTCCAGCGCTGGGTATCTGGCTCCCACGCAGCCGGATGTAAACAGGCGGGTGGGCTCCATGCATTCCAACCTGTTCCACAGCCCCGTAATCTCCGGGTTTTAAAGAAACTCCCTGTGTCTTTTCATTTCATTTCCTTCCTGCCCTCTTTTCCTTAAAAAGAAAACATTGGCTGCAGCCAATTTTTGAAGTAAGTGCCTGTGTTAGGTAGTCGTGCTGTGCAACCTCTCCACAGTCGCCAGCTAGAGAGCTGCTGGCGACGCTGGGGGCACGCTCCCTGGGTGCCCCTCCTGCCTCCCCGGAGCCTTTCAGGTTTGGCGGGGTGCGAGGTCCTCAGGAACCTGGGCACTGGGACAACACGCTTCTCAGTTTGCGGGGCTGATGAGTTAATAACTTGCTAACTCTTTGGCGACTTTTAATCCGTGCGCCTCCGCCTGGGACCCGAACAGGTCCGCAAGTGAAAGGCGCTCGCCCTTCTTTTGATTTCTTTTGTCATCAAAAAGATTTGTTGGTTAATTTTACCACTTTTCGAGTTCCTGGTACCTTTGGGGGTGGGGAGTGAAGATCTGTGAAATATTGTTGAAAGGTTAAAGGCTCAATTTAGCAAGGGGAGGCTGGTACTTAGCCGAACTGAAGTAGCTCCTAAGAAAGGGGTTTCGTTAGTTTCTAACTTGTGAGTCCTCCTCTTACAACATTCTTATTGCTCATCCTGGACTAATAAATGATTAGCCCTGGCGGTTGGGGGAGGGTAGTTGTGTGTGGGAGTCTGTGTCCGCATCTGTATTTCACTGTGGCATGATAAAAGAGCCCATACGAGGGGAATCTGTTGCTTTCCTCGGGAATCAGGGGTTCCTGAGAGCGCAGAGGAAAATCTAATTGTGGGACTCCAGTTGGAAACACTGGTCAGAACGTTTGCTTGGAGGAAATGAAGGGTGGGCAGTGCTCAGCTGCTCTTGATAGCCAATGGAGTTTTAGTAGGAGCAGGAGCACCGCTAGTCAGGGAAAGTTCCCTTAAGTAGATAAGAGTGAGAGAGAAGAATGCCAACGGAGTAAATGTCTCCACTGTGGGCGCCTCCTTTGACAGTTGAAGTGGATTTAGACCAAAGAGTGCAGAAGACCGTATAATCCTGAGTATGGGCCTTCGAGATAAAAGCAGATACATTAAGTCACTCAGTCAAATTTAAATCAAAGAGTGATTGCCTGCATCTCCTGTTCTGTCAACAGCGTCTTCGCTTGCCTTTCCCCATGTGCTTTCTCTATAATGATAAAATTTATCACCTCTCTCAGTCTTTGTGGAACCACTGTACGAATACTTTTCTCATATTAAAAAAATGAAACCCTACTTTGCTCTTCTTCCACCAACGATAGACACCTGGAGTCCAGAAGGCGAATAATGACAAAAACAAAACAAACAAGAAAACACAATGGGTTCCTACTGCGGTTGTTTTCCCTTCTTTCTTCACGCCTTTAGGTGATACCCAAGCACATTGCTGTTAGCAACAACAGTCCACAGGAATGCTTACTTCTTTGGATGGGATTAAACAAGTCCCTGTATCACTGGAATGTGTGTGTGTGTGTTCAGTTCTTCTGCTGCAAGCACGTAAGTGCTACAGTGTGGTAGTTTTGCCAGTATGTTGAGTAGTACAGCCTATTTATTTGGAATATTGAGATATCTTCTGAAGTGTGTTTGTGAATGAGCGTGTCTTAGTGTGTTTGCATACCGTGTGTGTAAAAAGGGAAGTCTGGGAGCTGGAGTACTGAACCAATACTCTAAAGATTTTATTATTGCTGCTCTGGTCTTGCAGCACAATATTTGCTGAATCATTAGATTGTTACATTCGCTGATCATTTCATATCTTCATATTAAAAATCTTGGCAACTGTAGCAGAGTGTGTAGCAGCTTTCCAAAAGAGCTGATACATACAAAAATATATTTTCCTAGACCAATACTTACTAAGAGATAGTGGGTGCATAAAGATCTTCCTACCAGTGCCCTGGTAGCCTAAATGAACAGCCCAGTTTCTTAAGAACCAGGTATTTTCTCTATTAACTTAAACATCTATATTTTCTGATCTGAGTTGTGGAGCTTGAGTGACTGTGTACAGTGTAATCACTGGGACATTTCCCTGTTGAGGCTACTTGGATGCAGTGTTGGGAGTTTTATTTCTTCTGGGGAAAACATGTTTTTGAGTAAAGTGTGTGTTTGGCTGAACACATATAAACCACCTTTGAAAAAGGTTATTCTCAACTTTGGCTGTGAAGGTGAACCAGAGCCTTTGGTATCTCCTTGGTCCTGTGCACTGGCCACAGGTCCATGGTGTAGCCTGGCCCTGTGCCTTGGAAGAGCAGATGTTGGAGTTGCTGCTGGAGTAGCTGCCACTGGACTGCCGCTGAGTTTGGGTGAGACCCACCCGTCTGATGAGAGGGTGGCATCCAGCATCTTCTTGCACCTCCCCTCCTGCCCCAGGCACACTATGTCAGCTGCAGCTGCCCTCACCACAGCGCCATCATGGCAACCACTACCCTCACCCAGTCCACCCTATGCAGTCCTTTAGCAAGATTCCACTCCTGCATCCCCCTCCCATGTCTCTGGCTCAGGGTATGACCCTGCTGACTCTTGCTTCCTCCAGCACCACCACGTCCAGTCTTATGGATGTTCTCTCTCTCTCTCTCTCTCTCTCTCACATACACATACACACACACACCCCACACACACTGACAGATATGCTCTCACAAAGCAAGTGGGGTACTTTGGCACAATGACTTCCCTCTGGAGCCCACAGAAACTTCCAGCAGTTGCGCCTAGTTGTGCTTATGTTCAGGTGTTCTCCACTTCCCCTTAACAAGCATCTCAGAGTGAAGGCCACAGGAGTACCAACCCCAGGGCTCTTCCCCGAGGCTTTAAGGCAGCCCAGGCTCAGCTCCTGAGGAGGGGACAGGCAGGCAGTTGAGCATAGATGCAGTTTGCTTTTCAGGATAGGGTTTTGGAGAGTGACTTTTGGGAGGACCCATTTTCTGCTTTTCCAGGTGCTGAGGCCTTGAGAGTTCCCCAGAGGAGTCCCTGCCCACAGCTCTAGCTTTGGGGCCCCAGCATTCTATGTAAATGAGGCACCTTTGTTTCTCTGAAACTGTGCCACCCCGCCTGAGGCCTTGTGCTGTTCCCAGGCCTACAGCTTGCTAGCTGGAGAAGGCAAAGACTGGATCCTTCTCTCAGCGGGGGCATGGCCCCAATTCCAGTCTGCCAGCTTAACAGCTCCACGGGACTTCAAATCAACATTTCTTTTGTTACTTTAGCCACCTTTCTCTTCTAAGTCCTAGTTTAGACCTCTGCTACAGGGAGTATGGTGGAGGATTTGAAGCTGGCTCTGGTCAGAGCTCTGCAGGGCTAGCAACCCTGCTGGGGGAGTGGGGGAGTTGGGTGGGGGCTGGCATCTTCTTTAAGGAATTACTCTTCAAGTCGCCCCTTGTTTCTGATCTTCCAGGTTGACTTTTTCAAAGTCCACATCTGCCAGGGCAAAGACAGCAACCCAAACTTTCTCCCAGCTCCCTCACAGTTTGTCCATGATAGTCCTTCCCGAGGAGCTGAGCATATGGTAGGCCATTTCTTTCATTTGGATGTTTCCACCTAGGTTTTCTTTTAAGCATTTCAGCAGAAAGACTAATGAAAGGTTTCCCAGGCAAGGTTCCCTCTCCCCGTCCCCAAGTTGTGCCGCTGTCTCCATGGCTGTGCACACTGACCACAGGTGCATAGTACATAGCTGCTTTCTCCTGTATGTGCTCAAGGTGAAAAAAACAACCCCCCCCCCAAAAAAAAAACCAACCCAGCTCTGGGACAGCCCAGATAATAAAACACATGGCCTGAGAAGGAACAGAAAGGGTTCCTATGGAAATGCCCCTGTTTGCTGGACATCCCATGTGATCTCAGATATAATGATTGGTAGCAGATATACTACAGTGTCTAGGAGCATGAGTGAATTGACTGAGCTTAGAAGCCGCTACTACCAACAAGTTCCTTGAGAGAGATTTTCCTTCCTTTGGGAGGGGCGGTGGGTGGGAGGGAGGAGTGGTCTTACATCTGGAATGAGGAAAAGTGGCCCTTGGAAGGCAGGGATGCAAGAGTAATAACTGCAGCCGCCTGAAACAGATAACACCCGAACACCTGCTCAGCTGAGCTCTGGAAGGCAGGGGAGCGAAGTCTTTCCAAGAATCGCCACTGCAATGGCCACAATAAAAAAAATCTATTTTTCACATAAATTCTCACTTATTCTTAAAGCTTCAAAGAATAACTCTGATGTGATCCATCAAAAGAGGCACACTCATTTCAGAAAACGACTTTGAAAAATGATCTTTTCGTTTTCTAGAAATAGCTCTCCTTCTCCACCTAGACGTATGGAACTCAACACATTTTTCTGGCTTTGTGTGGTTGTTTTTTCAGCAGTGCCCATGAGTTTATACGACAGTAGATGTTTCTCCAGACAGACACCTTTTGCTTTTTAGTTTAATTCAAGTGGTCATCACAGTGTGTTCAATTCCCTGAATTCTCAGATGACGTTATTTCAGCATTTACTCATCACAGGAGAGTTAATTCGAATTAACACAAAGAAATGTACAATGGACCAGCAAATTTTTGTCTATGATAATGAGAACAATATTTGACTTTGTTTTAATTATCAGAATTTCTGTAAGAAAATGCTTTGCTCTTTTGTGGTAGAAATTTGAGTGAGAGGAATTCATTCTGTTGTTAGAATTTTACTGAGTTACTGTAGCTCCGATTTCATTTGTTCCCTGGACATGGTCAGTGTCCATTTTTACACACCAAGTAGAAAGCAGTTCACTGTCATTCAACTGTTTATACTTTAAATCATTAATCTATTGCATCCATAGTACCTGGTGTTTGCAGGAGATCCCAGGTTTTCCCTGGGAGGATGGTCTGATGTATTGAAATAGAATGATTGTTTCGCATTTGGGTGCTGAAGTTTTATCT